GATGCTCCACAGGGCAAATCATGGAAGTGAGTCTTCTGGCGTTTCACAAGGGAGGGAGAGACCTGAACGAGCACACCCTGGCCAAGCTGAAGAGGAGACCACGAGACTCAGACCATGAGCCACCACAGAGAACAAAGTCACCGACAGGCACTCCACTCCTAGTCTAGGAACCAGTCAATTTTAACACCTTTTTCCTGTGAAACAGTGAATATAGAACCTGCCTGCCTCTGGGAGCGCTGGGAGGATTAGCTAAGGCCTGTGCAGTCCTTTGAAGATGAAGAATACTCTAAGTGCTTAGCACAAATGTTAATAATATCTTGATCGTAACTACACATCAACCATCCCTGCAGAAAAATGAGGAGCGAGAGGCCCAATTTAGCAGAACACTTTCCCTCTTAATCCAATCGCCGTCCTTCACCCTTTGTGCAATAAGCACACTTCCCTTTCATCTTTTAAGTGCTAATACCCTTGGTCTGGTAATCCCAAACTGCAGCCTACACTCCAACGGCCCCTTGGCTTATTCCAATGCACAAAACCAGAGATCAATGCCAACTGCGTAAAGCCTAAAATAGAGCCCCGGAGAGAGAAACAAGTCGCAGGGGCAACGGCCTGCAGAAGAGGAGCGATGAAGTTTGAGTCAGGTTTTTCTCCCCAGGGTTTAATTCCTGAGGCACTAGTAGGGGGAAACAGGACTCGCAGGCTCTAAGCGTGGACAAGGAGAAGAGAAGCTCAAAGGGCAACTCAAGGGCACTCCCTTGGCTTTGGGGAAACCACTCAGTGCTCCCACGCAGGAGTTAGGATTCCTCCTAATCAGCAGGAACGAGTTATAACGACACCCTGCTCTACTCCAGAGCTTTCTTCTTAAAAATCCCTCCAAATGGCCTTACACAAGTCAACTGGAGCAGAATTAGACCGAGACTGAGTGCTTTTGAGCAACTTACCTTCCCATATTTCAGACTCCGGGTGTGCAGCGACACAGCCCCATCAGAGAATACAGACTGCACCTCTGCCTGTCAAAGCTCAAAGGGCAACTCAAGGGCACTCCCTTGGCTTTGGGGAAACCACTCAGTGCTCCCACGCAGGAGTTAGGATTCCTCCTAATCAGCAGGAACGAGTTATAACGACACCCTGCTCTACTCCAGAGCTTTCTTCTTAAAAATCCCTCCAAATGGCCTTACACAAGTCAACTGGAGCAGAATTAGACCGAGACTGAGTGCTTTTGAGCAACTTACCTTCCCATATTTCAGACTCCGGGTGTGCAGCGACACAGCCCCATCAGAGAATACAGACTGCACCTCTGCCTGTCAGTGCCACTTAAGGAAACAAGGTCTGTAACACTGCCCAGTGCCACCAGCCACTGGTTGTCCCTGGCAGAGACTGGCCAAGGTCTGGCTGCTCTCCCCGTGCCCTCGGCTCTGCTGTCGCAGTGCCAGCAGTGGAAGGATACGCTGATGAGGTCCCCTTCCTGCAGGTAATCCCTCATCGCAAGCTCATCTTCTGCTGATCTCCTCCTCTGAAGGGCACAATGCAAGAAAAGCGTAGCTCAGAATGAGAAAACACCAATTAATATCTACATTGATGGATGGGGTGGGGGGGTGCTTAGGATATCGTGCCGTCATCTGTCACCAGAGGACAACCAGATAGAGCAGCACACCTTTACACCACCAAAGTGCTTATGTCCAAATAACACTGAGAATTAAAGATGTCAGAGGCACTACAGACCCACGCACAAAACCCAACGGTGCCCTTGTGCCAGCTGTGGGAAGGGCTCCAGAGCTTCCCAGCTTCTGCTGTGGAAGCTGAAGACGACGGGGCTCCCTCCAGCACTGCTCTGCGTGAGCTGCACTCACCAGCTCCCCACCGGGTAAGTTCATGGAGGACAGCAGCAAGACCGAATCTAGCCTGGAGTTGGTCTCCACTTTCCATCGCTTCTGCTGAACCTGGAGAAATAAAAAAAAGAAAGTATCTGTTGATATAGGCCCAAAAAATGAACAGAAGTCCAACCATTAACCCAGCACTGCCACGCTACCACTAAACCATGTCCCTCAGCACCACGTCTACCCATCTTTTAAATCTCTCCAGGGATGGCGACTCCACCACTTCCCTGGGCGGCCTCTTCCAAGGTTTGACAACCCTTTTGGTGAAGAAATGTTTCCTTATATCCATCCTAAACCTGCCCTGGCACAACTTGAGGCAGGTTCCTCTTGTCCTATCGCCTCTTACTTGGGAGAGGAGACCAACCTCCACCTCATACACCCTCCTTTCAGGTAGCTGTAGGGAGTCCCACCCAGCTTAGCCCCGATGTGCTGACAGTGCCTCCATGCCGGGACACCAACGTGCTTTTAGGAAGGACAAAACTGCTCCGGATCAGACCAGGACACGCCAGCCCGGTTGCCAGCCAGCAGGGCCAAGTGCCTCCATGCCGGGACACCAACGTGCTTTTAGGAAGGACAAAACTGCTCCAGATCAGACCAGGACACACCAGCCCGGTTGCCAGCCAGCTGGGCCACCTCCTCCTCCTCCTCCTCCTCCTCCATGAGTGTTACCTCCGTGATCCTCCCCACCACGATATCGCCGACCTCGCCGTTGTACCTGGCAGCGGGACAGAGAGCGCAGCCCGTCAAACGCCTCATCCTCCCCGCAGCACGGCCCAGCCCTCACCTGGCACAGATGGCGGCCTTCACCCTCCCCGCGCAGATGGCGGCCTCCCTGCGCGGCCGGGAGGTGGCCCGGGCTCACCTGGTCTTCAGCGCCTTGACACACACCAGCTTGTTCACCCTCTCCACGGCGCCGGCCACCGAGGCGATGAGCTTCTCCTCCTCCACGTAGGTGCCGTGGCCCCTGCGCAGAGAGGAGCCCGCCTGAGGAGACCCCGAAGCCGGCCCGGCCAACCCGCCCCTCCGCCTGCCCCTCCGCCGCTGCCCTCACCTCATGTAGCCCGTGTCCGTGGTGATTATGTCCCCCGGCGCCACCAGGTGCTTCTCGCCGCCCCGGGGCGCGCTCAGCCCCACCGCTTTGCGGGGCACCGGCAGCCGCATGGTGATGGCGGCCATCTTGAGTGTGGGCGGTGCAGCGCAGGCGGGCCCTTCCGCAGGCGCCTTCCGCCCGCCATCTTGGCTGCTGGCGAGAAGGCGCCTGAAGCGTGGGCGGTGCCATTTTGAGTGAGGGCGGGGGGGATGGGGGGGGAGGCTGCTGGGCGGCCATTTTGGTTTCTGGCAGGGAAGGAAGGCGTGGGCTTCACTGCGCTGGGATGGAAGGAGAGGGGCCATGTTTAGTGCGGGCAAGGCGCACCACGGGGGGAGGAAGGACACCAGGACGGCGCTCAAGTTTTGGCTTAAGCGTCTCCGAGGAATTTACCCCTTCCCCTGGCAAAGCTGTTCCAAATAATGCGTTTGTGTGGAATTTTTATTCATTTGATCCAAGCAGAAGTTAGGCTTTCGGAGCTGCTGAGAAAATACAGCAGAGAGTCCCTCGTCGCAAGCTCAGCCCCTGCTGATCTCTGAAATGTGCAACGCAAGCAGCTCAGAATGAGAAAACACCAATTAATATCTACATTGGGGAGGGCCTTAGGATGCCGTGCAAAACACAGTCTGGTCACCAAAGGAAAATCAGGTAAACTAGCCTGGAAAAAGTAGCCAGCGATGACCTTCAGCGAACGCTTTGCTTCCTCGGGACCAGAATCAAACGTTATTCTTTCGAGCAAGACCTGTAGCCCAGCACAGCTGAAATATGGCATTAATTGATGGAAGCTATCGAAGGATACCCACAGCTGTCACTTCAAATAGAGATTTGGCTTAAATGTCTCCAAGGGATGAGGAATTTACTCCTTACTCCTTTAGGTGAACACAGGGAGGGACCAGAGCAATAATACCAGACCCTTCCAGACCTATAAAAGGGCTTGTTTTCTCCAGAGCTGATATTTCCTCTTCCCAACTGCACTATTTCGTCCAAAAGATGATGCTGCATCCCTTTATTCACCTTGTACTACTCCAAATACTCATCCCAACCACTACATCCTTTCCCCTATCACAGAGCAAAATAAAGATCTCCAAACTACCCATCTTCTAAATGATAAATGTTCCAAGTAATTTTTATTTAGAATACAAGAGAGAGGTACAAATGTATTTACACTGTGTACATATACAATCAAATAATATATAATATCAAAGTTCTGTAAATAATGTTTACATAAATATTTACAAAGTTAAAGTGACAGTTGTTTGCTTTTTTTTCTTTTTCTGGAAGTAAAACACAGTTTGTGAGAAATTTATACATCTTAGACTTATAATTAATATTAGAATACCTTCTTTTAAGCTTTATGATACACAGCCCTCCTCTCGAGTTGTGGCAGGACTCCAGAGGGCGCTGAGACTTGTCCTTGGGGACAGAGCTGGTCCAGGGACGGGTTTTTTTTCTGTCCCCAGAGGCCAGGAGAAGCATCAGCCGAAATGTTCTCTCACGGCTGCGGGGAGCGATGATGGGGAGCGATGGGACCCCGCAAAACCTGCCCGTGGATGGACATTTCCAGCTGGCACATCGTGCTGGGGGTGTCCCCATAGCACATCGCCTGTCCCCTCTGCTCGTGGCATCGCTTGGGAGGTGTCGGGCAAACCCCACCAACACGGAGGAGGGCAGGAGAGGAGATTTGGGGGGGGGAAATGCAACCTCTTGCTAAATCATGGCTCCCGAGGAGGGAAACCTGTCCCTTGGATAGAGCCACCAGGGCCAAAGCTGCCCCTGGGGCAAACAGGCGTGAATGGGGTGGCCACAACAGGGCTGTGCCAGCCTCCCAACGGGGCATGTGTCTCTGCTGGGCGCCCGCTGGAGCAGGAGGAGGAGGGAGAGGAGCAATTTTGCTTTCCATCGAATTATCTGTAAAATTATCATGACTCCCCCAGGCCCAGCTTTTTGGCCAGCCCAGCCCTCCCCCGATGTGCTGCCAAATCCACACAGGAGGTCCTTCTGCATCCCCTCACCCCTCTCCCCCTGCCACCCCCAGCGACCGGGAGCTCCCTCCCTTAAACCGCATCTCCCCGGGGAGCTTCCCTCACGGTACAGCTTGTAGAGCTCGGGGGAGAAAAGGGGGGTCCCCTCTCTCACCAGACCCCAGGCAGAGGGTGGCACCCCAAAAATAAACCAGCACCCCCCACACACACACTTCAACACACAAAGCAGCCCCTTTCTGCCCACCATCCCCCAGCTCTGCCCAGGGCCAACACTCCCCCCCCCCTCAGCCCCGTCCATCCCCAGTTCATCGCGTGTCTCGGCGCCAGTCTTTGCTGTCCCAAAACCCGTCGGCGGGGCTTCTTCACAGCACCATGGTGGGGATGTGGTGGGCCAGGGAGGCGGGATGGGGCACAGGCAGGGCGGGCGAGTGAGCCTGCAGGGAGGCGTTGGGGGGCCGGTGGCGGGCGCTTTTCTGGTGGGCCCGCAGCCCGGCGAGCTGGGAGTAGGCACTTTGGCAAACCTGGCACTTGTAGGGCCGCTCGCCGGTGTGCAAGCGGACGTGGTTGCGGAGGGTGGAGGACTGGCTGAAGCGGCGGTTGCAGAAGCGGCAGACGAAGGGCTTGTCCAGGGTGTGGATGCGCATGTGGGAGCGCAGGTTGCTGCGGGAGTTGAAGCCGCGGTGGCAGATGACGCAGCGCATGCGGCCTGTCGTGCTGGCCCCCGTCTCCACCGCGTGGAAGTCCTCTGGGGACAACATGGGGACAGTTTTTCTGGTGGGCCCGCAGCCCGGCGAGCTGGGAGTAGGCACTTTGGCAAACCTGGCACTTGTAGGGCCGCTCGCCGGTGTGCAAGCGGACGTGGTTGCGGAGGGTGGAGGACTGGCTGAAGCGGCGGTTGCAGAAGCGGCAGACGAAGGGCTTGTCCAGGGTGTGGATGCGCATGTGGGAGCGCAGGTTGCTGCGGGAGTTGAAGCCGCGGTGGCAGATGACGCAGCGCATGCGGCCTGTCGTGCTGGCCCCCGTCTCCACCGCGTGGAAGTCCTCTGGGGACAACATGGGGACAGTCAGGCTCTGCCCCCCTGCCCAGCACAGCAGCTCACCCCTTCCCCAAGCCCCCTACGGTGCTGACTGCCCTAAACACCCACCCCCTGCCCCCCGTGCTGGCTTCTCTACCCCCAGAGGATGCCCATGAGCAGAGACCCCCCATCCCGGGCAGAGCAGGGTCACAGGCTGGGATTCGGGATGGGGCCAGAGCTAGGAACAGGCTTGCTCAAATTTAGGTGCGGGGAAACGTTCAGACCGACCTGTCTCCCCTACAGACTGACGCAAAAAGTGCTTTTCCCTCCCTGGGCTGCAAGTGGAGATGGAAGGGGAGCACAGGAACCCTCTGTCCTGGGCTCCAGCCCGAGCTCCTCAACAGCAGCAAGCTGTCCCTGCACCAATCCCAGCTTTTTCCCCTGCTCTGCTCGCTCGGAGGACCACAGACGGCAACCCCAAAAATGCCCGAGAGCTCTGCTGCCTGCCATGGTCGCGTTTGCCCCCCCAAATCCCCTCATCTGCCCTTTTCCACCGAGGAGCACCTCAGGGAACCACCAAGACAAGCAGAGAGTGAAAGGCTGGGGAGGCACTAACCTCCTGCAACAGTAATTTGAGGAAAAATCTGTTAAATGCGGAGTGGGGATGTAGGCAGCTGCATCCACCCAGTGTTTCACAGTGCATTGAGGCTGCCTTCCTCCCACTCACACGCCTGCTCTCCTCCTCCTCCTCCCTGCCTGGCTGCATCAGGCAGCGGCTGTTGGCCACCGCACCAGCAATAGCCGTGGGTGAACAGCCTGGAGGCAAGTCCCTGAATTCCTGGGGAACTGCTCAAGCTGTATGGATCTGTCTCATGGTCCCTGTGTTTGACCCCAGAAACTTGGGGGGTCTGACATATCCCCTGGGGTGTCCTTGCCCCGTGCCCACCCCATGGCCTCAGAGCTGGGGATGGGGTGAACGGAGAACAGGCAGGGATGCTGCACCCGGGGCTGTTTCTGATGTTACCTACCATGTTTGTTCTTCTTCTGCTCCTCTTCCAGCCCCGGCACACCCGGGATGCCCAGGAAGGTGTTGTGGGAGTTCCCGTACCAGACCAGCAGCTCTTGGTCCGGAGGAATCATCTAGAGAGAGAGACACAGACAGGGGTGTCAGGAGGGGGACAATGAATGGCTTCCCATACACTCTCACCTGGTTGTTTCAGACCTACCCTGGCCATACCCCATCTCCTGCCAGACCCTGCTGCCATCTGGGACCTGCCAGTGATCCCCAAAACCCCCTGAGAAGGCACAGCACAGCCCACACTGCGGCACTGGAGGTGATGGCACGGCTCAGAACCATCCACCAGTGGCACAAACCTGCAGCAGGGTCTCCCCCAGGCTGGGCCACAAACGAGGTGACAAGCAAATAAGCAGCTGCAGAGCACGCAGGTGGAGCTGAGGTTTCTGAACCTAGAGGTCCCTGCAGCTCTGGGAGACAAGGACATGGCAGCACACAGAGACACGGAGAAATAAGCCATTTGTGACCCCTGAACTGCAGAGAGGGACAAGTGACAGAGACCAAAGCAGGGAGCTGTGACATGGGGCTGCAGCTCGGTGCTCCTGCAGAGCGTTTTGGCTCCGGACGGAGCCATCAACACCCTCCCACTGTAGGACACAGGCATCATCTCCCACCCGACCCTGCTGGGGCTTATTTTAGCAGGTGGAAATGCAGATACACCAGCAAAGGGCTCAGGATCAGTGGGGAGAGCTCGTGGCTAGTGTACAGGAGAGCGTGGCTCAGGGCGTAAGATGCTGCGTCCATCCCACACCAAAGCCACAGTGCCTGCAACAGCCCAAGGAGATCTACAGGGCCAGGGAAGGGCTTTTCACCACCCACGCTCTTGCTTCCCTGAACTGATGGCATTTCTCCTTCCCCTGTTGTTCCCGTTAATGTTCCTGCTCTGCCAGGGCGGCCGGAGCGAGCAGCCAGGAAACGCCGTTAGAGCCTCCCCGTGTGAAGCAGCCATGGCCGGGGAGACAGATGCTCTCACACTGCTTTAGGCAATGCTAATAACAATATCATTTTATAAAAAAAAAAAATGCAGATTTTTCCTTTGCTCGTCCCTAATGTTAAGAACCTAAATTAGAAATTAAAAAGTCCCTTGTTTAGAGGGTGGTTTTCCGTACACGGAGTAGTCCAAGAAAAGCATCATCCATGTGAAAAAGGTCCTAAGTTAGATCACCCGAGTGCTGAAAATGTGCCGAATTTTAAACAGCTGAAAGCACTGGGAATTTGACTTTGTAAGTTTAAGTGTACGTCTGCAAAAAGACTTCACTGGGGCCACAGAGTAGGAATTTGGGAGGTGGGGGGAACCAATATAATTTTGCATCCCAAACTGCTGTTTCTTGGTGTCATTTTCTCTTAATGGAAAGTGAGTTATTTTTAATACAAGCAAATAGAATAAAATATCTCCAAAAGGATAAAACGCATTGTAAGTGTGCATACGTGTGTGCATGCACGTTTTATTCTGCTGGAGCTGGTGCATCTGTGCCAGCAGCAGGTGAGCACTCATGTGCATACACCCCAAAGCAATTTAAATTGCTCCCCTCTCCCCCCAAAAATCTCATGGTCTTCAGATCAAAGGCCAAAATTTGCTTCCCTCACTTTATTTTCCAGCAACAGCAACTTGGAATTGCTGAGGAAGAGGATGAGGGAAGACAAACTAGCAAGTAAAGGCAGGAACGGGCAAAGCATATGAAAAATATTAAAGGCAAATAGTGAAAAAAGGCAGAAAATTAGTCTGATTTTGTGGCTGGTGGGTGAGAAAGGCATCCTAAGAGATATTGCAGCAGAGGTGGGTGCAGAGTGACAGGGACGGGCAGCTCGAGGTGCCCGCCGGGGAGGGGACGCAGCGGGCACAGGAGAAGAGGCTCTGCAGGGGATGGAGGGTGATGGTGCCCACGGACGGACGTGTGAGAGAGGGAGCAGCTCTGATCACATCAGTGTTTGCAATATCCTGCCCACGACTGAGCTGTTCCAGCTGGGCTGGGGCTGACACTGAGCTCTCGGCCCAGGATTTGTGGTGAGGGAGGCAACAAGGCGGTGGGTAACAAGGGGGGGAGCTCACTCAGGTCCCAGATGCTGCGTCCGTGTGCCCGTGGCTCCGTGCTAGGGATTAATGAGAGAACCACAAAAGGAAAAACCTCTCTTGTTTCTCCTTTTCTTGTTGGATGTGCAAACAAACCCCAACGAGCTTGAGCAAGCCATGGGTTTCAGACTCTGTGTGTGTGTGAGCCCCTGAAAGATGCAGATCCTCGACCTGTAGTGCCCAGTTGCTACCCACCTCCTCACACACTCCATCCTTCCCTTCCTCACACGGAAAGCTCCAACCCCTTCTGCCCCTCACGGCATAGAAGGACCCACTCCAACCTGGTGGCAACAGGAGCAGGACACCCACCGGGTGCCTGCTGTGCCCGGGAAGCAGCCACAATGTGGGGATGTGGGCACCCCTCATCCCCACATTCACCTCCCCATCGCTTGGGGTTCATGACTCTCAACATTTCAGCTTTGCTGTTTGTGCCAAGGGATTTAAACTCATCCTGCTCTGGCACCTGCTCCTTCAGCCCCGGGAGCAAGCCCGCAGACTGACCGAGATGATACGAGGCCTCTACATGCACCTCCCCAAATATCAGCTCACCTGCCCCATCGTCTGTGGGTGTTTCTCACAAGGTGTGAGAAACACAGCTCTATTCCTAATTACACCACGGCTACCTGGAATTATTTTACGCCTGCATAATTTAAGAACAGTAATAAAGAGTAATGAAGCCGCTGTCACAACAGGCACAGCTGCCCACAAGAATGTCAGGTCTTAAAACGGGGTACAGCCGAAGCCTACGGAGGGGTGTCCAGGACAGGGAGAGCAGCCCAGCCACGCTCAGGGCTGTTGTGCTGGATGGGGACAGGCGGCAGAGCCCTGGGGAGGTACATGGCACCCTCCCGCAGCAGAAGAAAATGCCTTTTCTCTTCTTATCCACCCACTTGCCTTTCCCATCCCACTGCGGCAATCCCAAACCCAGCCCTGATGCTGGCGCAATGCAGGACGGGGCCGTGGTCCTGTTCCAGGGAGCATTTGAGCGTCTGCTCCTCCATAAACCAGCACAGGAGCCCCAGAGGGGTGTCCAGGACAGGGAGAGCAGCCCAGCCACGCTCAGGGCTGTTGTGCTGGATGGGGACAGGCGGCAGAGCCCTGGGGAGGTACATGGCACCCTCCCGCAGCAGAAGAAAATGCCTTTTCTCTTCTTATCCACCCACTTGCCTTTCCCATCCCACTGCGGCAATCCCAAACCCAGCCCTGATGCTGGCGCAATGCAGGACGGGGCCGTGGTCCTGTTCCAGGGAGCATTTGAGCGTCTGCTCCTCCATAAACCAGCACAGGAGCCCAGATGGATCTGGGGGGCTGCCTTTGCCCACAGAACCAGTGACCCCTCACACTCTTTCCCAGCTAAAACCCATTCCCAGCTGCGAGCAGCCCCAGGAGCCCACAGTCCTGAGCATGTGAGGCTCTGGACCCAATACTGGAGAGGGACTAGCTCTGGGCTGGGTGGAAGGGGAGATGTCCCCTCCTGCAATTCTAAGCTGAAGCAGCTGCTCAGGGACACCCCACTGAGCCCACCCTCCTCCACCTGCAACAGCATCGGGTTATGGGGACGAGGAGTGGTCCCCACTGTCACACCGCTGGCACTGCGTGACTTGTGAGCCCGCAGCATCAATGCTGCCAGGGAGCTGAGCACCAGCTTTCATCCCAGCACCTCCTCTGGGGAGCTGTGGGGTGAGGATGCTTCCAGCCTCACCCCCTGGGACATCCCGGGGACCCAGTGCCCGTCCCTGCTCCTCCACCAGGCACTTGGTACGGACGTGCCGGGATGAGCCGGGCAGGATGAGTCCCTTCCCTGCAGCTGCACCAGCCCCGCACCCTGCAGCTCCTGCCTGCCTCCCGCAGCCCCGCTCCTCTGCTCCATTTACAGCTGGAGACACTTGTGACCCCCCCCTTGATAAAAGCTGTATAGGATCAGGCACATCCTGCACTCAGTGCCTGGGTTTCACGGAAACCCCCCCAAAATCTTTCCTGCTACAGAGAAGCAGGTTCTACACAAAAATCCCATTTTTCAAGAGACCATCAAAGCCCCGCTCCTGCCCAAAGCCCCAGCTGGGTCAGGATTGCAGCTCGGGATTGACCAAAACAAGCTGGGGCAGTGTTTGCTCTCCCTCTGCTCAGCACACATCACCCCATGAGCCCACCAAAAGGGGACAGGGAAGAAAAGAGCCCTTTGCTGCTCCCTGAAGCCCGTGCAGCGGCCATTCTCCACGGTCCCACCCTCTGTCCCAGCGGGTCTGGGTGCTGGGGATGGCAAAACCACCCTGTGCTCCCACAGACACCCCAGAAACAGCCCAAAGAACAAGGTGAGGGGTCTGTGGGGAAGGGAGTCCCATCACCCTGCCTTCCTCCTGCGTCTGCCCTGCTGCCTCCCGGCCCCGCTTACCTCAATGGCCTTGTAGAAGATGCTGTTCCCGATCTGGACCACCTCCAGGTTCTGCTCCTGCTCATTCCGTGCACATTTGATGTAGGTCATCCAGCTGCGGTGGTCCTCCTGGCTGGCATCGATGAAGTACCGCACCGTGCCGTCCTCGTTGAAGACCTGGGAGGGGGAGAGAGGGGTTGGTAGCGACGCTGCCCACAACGGACCGAGCTCCTCCACCTCCTGCCTCTGGGATAAAGTCCCCAGCCAGGGACAAGCTCAAAGCCAGCACAGCCTCGGGGCTGAGACTCTGTCAGGAGCTACTGCCTGAAGCCAGGAGATGCCCAAACCCATCCTGCTCACGGTGCTGGACCCCACATCCACAGCGGGGCTGAGGAAGGGCACCCTGCTCTCACTGTGGGGGCACGGCTGGCCCCACCAGCCCATGCCCACCCGGATAACCCAGCTCCCTGCCTCAATTCCCCCCCCTTCCTGGCAGAACCCCACCAGCAGCTCGGTCCCAAAGGGGCTGTTGAACGTCCTGCAGCTGTCCCCAGGAGCTGGGACACCCAAGGCTGGAGGAGGAAGGTGCCTGCCAGCCCTGGCCCATGTGGGAAGGTGCTTTGCAGGATGAAAGGTGAGGCAGGTTTCTATTAGGCATAAAATTATAATAATAATAAAGAATAACTAATAATAATTGAGAAGTGTTAGTCTGACACTCAGTGAAACAAACAAAAAAAAAAAGAAAAAAAAAAAGAAAAGAGGAAAACTCTCTCTATGAGCAGGATATTAATTCCTGGCAGCTCAGATTCTCCCCCAAACCCCATGGCTCCTCTCAGGGGTAACTGCACTGGGGCTGGGACAAAGAAGGGGACACAGGACAGGGGTGTTTTCACCCACAGAGCCCGGCAGAGGCCAGCCAGGGCTTCCACCGTGACGGCGAAGGGCAGGGTGTGATCCCGCTGCGTGGGACACCAGGAACAGCATTTTGGGGCTCCTCCGAGAGCTGGCTGCACCCCGAGGGATGAAGAAGCCTTGCCCGTCTCCTGCCCCAAGCACCTCCTAAATCCACCTGCCCTGGAGGAAGCCAGATCTTTGGATGAAGGGGGGAAACTGAGGCACGGGGAGGCACCTGACGGCACACAAGCACAGGACAAAGCCCCCGGTCCCCGGCGCCCCATCCCTGCCTCTCCCCGGGCCAGCCGGGACTGGGGATACGGGGGGGTGGGGATCGTTACCTCCCACATGAGGTTGTTGTTCTTGCACAGGTCCACATGCTCCGGCGAGATGACCCTGCCGGTGAAGGGTCCCATCTCGGTGCCGGCCTTGATCCAGGTCTTGGAGAAGATGCCGAGCCCTTCCCCGGGGATGGAGCTCTGGGCGATGATCACTTCCGACGGCAGCACCAGACTGGAGAGCTTCTGCACCTCTGCGGGCGGCGGGACAGGGCTCGGAAACGGGGACCGACCCTCCGCCGTGTGTGTCCCCCCCCGACCCCGCCACCTCCCGCCCCACCGCTCCCCGGGCTGGCCGCGGGGAAGGACCGGGGTGCCCGGGGAAAAGGGGGGGACAGCGGGGACCCCCTGGCCCGGCCCCAGCCCAAAACCCCGGAGCTGAGCCTTTTAAACGCCCAACCGGGCTCCTACAAAGCGGTACAAGGTTCCCCCCGGGGCATTGAGGAGGTACCTGGGAAAAGCAGCCCGGGCTGGGCGAGGGAGCGGGGCTGAGAAAGGGGGTTAAATGGTGTCTATTTCGGCCCATCCAGCAATTTGTCATGCTGTTAAAGTGATCTGCATTCATTAAACTCAACTAGAAAGAAATTGCTAATTCTAAATTCATTAGTCCTTTAGGAATGCTGTAGCGGTACATTGTGCCTGAATGGCGCAAGGGCTTGTTTAAAAGGGCCCAGGAATTCCTCTTACAAAATGGGGAGATGAGATGGTTGACATATCGTGAATGGAAATGGAATTAGCCTTCATGGTAAATTAAGAGAGGAACAGAAATCCGAGAGGGGGAAAAGGGAGCCGGGACGCCCCGGCGATGCCGGGGCGAGAGAAAAGATATTGTCCCGGGCGGCTGAATGCGGGGCGGCCCCGGAC